CGTTTTCGGCCGAAAACGTGCACGTTTGCACTTCCCCGCCAGAGAGAAGCTGTTAGCCGGGAATTCTCTTGCTGGTTGTAACCGCTGCCCGGGGGAGGGGAGTCCGAGCGCGGGGTGTGGCGCGGGCGCTTAGGCACTGAGCTGGGGGCATCGCATCGCGGCCGGGCCCGGGATGGAGCTGGGCCGGCTGGAGTACCTGCAGGCCCTCGTCACCGAGTTCCAGGTGACGGACAGCCCAGGTAAGCCCGGGCACCGCTGCTTGCTGGCACTCTTCATGTTGAGTGTGTTTCCTCACGACTGGCGCTTCTCTGTTGCAGAGGCCAAGGAGCAGGTACTGGCGAACCTGGCCAACTTCGCCTACGATCCCAAAAACTACGAGTACCTGCGGCAACTTCAGGTGCTCGATCTGTTCCTTGATATGCTCACCGAAGACAACGAGACCCTCGTGGAGTTTGCGATTGGTAAGGGCTGCGCCTCAGTACCCTCGTAAGGGGCTGAAGGGGGGATGCCAGGCCCGACACTTTGGTTTAGAGGTTAACCTCCCCCCGTGAGAGGCAGGGAGCTGTGCTGCAGGAGCAGCCCCATGCCCTGTGGTAAGGCCTCATTTAGTGGAAAATAAGTGGAATGGGGAGCGAGGTAGGAGGAAGGCATCTCCTCTTCATCCTAACTGAGCAGCTGCACTTAAGGATGCTTTCTGGATTTTTATTTTTTTTTTTACCTAGACTGTAAGTAAACAGTAGCTGAATTACTTTTTAAGGAAATCTCTCCCATAGAGCAGCAGTCATACAGGACAATATTTATGTATTAATGACTGCTGCACTATAGGATCCAATGTTATTATTCTGCTACTGACAACCAGTCTTCTAGAAAACTTGGAATTTTTGAGTTAAGTCCTCTGAGGAACTGCCTTATGGTGATTCATCATGGCCTGAACATAAGCTAAGGGGCCAGATCCTAATTGTGAGTCATTCCATGAGATGATGATAATAAATGTATTTTGATTTTTAAAGGTTTGTGGCTGAGCTACACCAGGATATGGCTTCATCTTAATTTTAAAATCAGACATTCTGTGCCTCTTGGATAGTACTGTTAGCTCCGTTCTCTTTTTCTAAAACACCTGCAATAAGCTGCTGGCTTGTAGCCTCCTTTAGGGTTAAGTGATACTGGAATTCATTCTGTTGAAGAGGTTATGTCCAGCAGTAACAGTGCCCTCTAATGACATACAGGAGGAGGATTGTTTTGGTGGAAAGAATCAAGAAAAGATTGCCCAGGAAGCTATTAAAAATTTTCCATCCAAATCTCACAGAAAATCTGGATGCTTATCTCTGTATTAGAAAAGAGGTATCAGCACTGACAAAAAGATGAGGGTGTGGAGAGATGAGTTTGTCTTTAATGTGTCGGACACTTTCTTTTGCTGTTTCAGGTGGTCTTTGTAACCTGTGCCTGGATAAAACTAACAAAGACTACATCTTGGAGGCGAATGGGGTAGAGCCCATCATCAACTGCCTCTCCAGCTCCAACGAGGAGACAGTCATGTCAGCAGTCACCACACTGATGTACCTGACAACGCCGCAGTCGCGCCAGCAGACCACGGCTCTCCCGGTGGTGGAGTGCATGCTTCGCTTCTCCCTCTCAGCCAGCAGAAGGCTAAGCAATCTGGCAACCGTCTTCCTGGAGGACTACTGCACGCCACTGCAAGTGGAAGAGGCCAGGAATCTGAGCAAACACACAGCCGTGGGGATTCCTCTCCCCAAGGACTGAAGCTGTCAGAACAACATGCAGTTGTTGAGAGGGAGACCTCCCTCTGTTTTCCCAGGCCTCCACATTCTGCTCAGCAGGGCAAGAGTGTGTCAAGAACAACATTGAAGAGGGAAATTGGTCATACTAGCACTGGATTTTAATTAATAAAGGGGATGGTACAGCACTAACATGTCAGTCAGACCAAGCACACAGCTAAAACTTTGGGCAAATATTTAAAATAAAACAGGTCATGGCTGTTGGAGAGCAGGTTGCCAAGTACAGCCCAGCACCCAGCTTGCACAAATAACCCCTCCCAGAAATTAGGGGGGTTTCTGCTTGGGTTATTGAGCAGCTTATATACTCTCCAGCTCTGGGCTGGTTTTGCTGCCACTCTCCTCTTCAATGTCAACTCAAATGACTTTTGAAATATCACATAAACTTTATTTCTCCTGCAGAAGAAAGAAGGTGTTTCCCTGCCCTGGCAGTTTGCAGTCCTACTGCATCCAGTTGGTACTCAATATGCCATCCTGTCATCACGCACAGGCACTACACAGGGCAGGTTGTAGCTATCCTATATGTGAGGAAGTGGAAAGTTGTTTCTTTCATTACCACTGGTGAGAAAGGTGAAGATTTAAAAAAAGAGCTTATGGCAGTCTGGATCATGAGAACAGCTGTCTTGTAAAAGCTTCTCTTAATAAAACATTAACTTAAATGCTGTGTAAACAGTTTTGTATAAGCTCATAAATACTCCTCTACAGTGCTTGCAGCCCAGCTTTCGCCCACTCTTACTCACCATGCACATGGATCAGAAATTGAAGCCAGCTTGGTCTCCTTTCATTATCAGCCAGTGATGCAAAAGGCAACTCAAAAGCCAGGGTGGCTAAATACATAAAATCCAGGTTTGGCTGTGGAGCACAGCGCTCCCTGACAGACACCCACGCTGTGTCTGTTCAAGTTTCAGAGCTTTACTTCCTCTTTTCCCCTCTGCCCCAGTCAAGCCAAAGCAAGTGGAAGTGAGGTTAAAAGCACATGCACACAAGAAAAAAAAAAAAAAAAAAAAAAACCCCCACAACTGCTTGAATTTTATAGTTTCTCTTCACCAACACCAAGCATCCAAAACTCTATGCAGATTAACCGAATGCAGAGCAATCTTCCAGAAACCTGGAGAGGAGTCAGCTCTGCAGCACATCTAACAGGGGCAGCTCATTTCTTAGTACAACTGACCCCCCGTAGTGCCCCTGCCCGGGTGGCCGTGCTCGTGGCCTTCTGGGAACGGGTCCCTCTGCTAGATGAGCTGGTTCCCCCAGCAGTGGGAAGAGCAAAGCGTCTCCTTTTTGTGTCACTGCCTGCGCTTGCTCTCCAAGATGGCCTTCCAGTCATCCGCCCAGGAGAGCAGCCGCCGGCGCGGTGCCTGCAGCTGGACGTGCCTGTTGTGGCAGCAGGTAAACAGGACGTGCTCCCAGCTGGGGTTCAGCTCTGCACCTGAGGGGGGCAAGGCAGGAAAGCTGGAGTCAGCTGGGGTGGGGGGGGTTTCCTTCCCCAGCTAACAGCAGTCGGTGCAAATGCTTTTCAAACCTCTAATGGTATCCTTGTCGTCAAACAGCAAGTCAGCAGATACGACAGTCTTATCTCGGGTTAGGATAATCCGCTCCACAAACTCTGGTCCCAAATGTTTTTCAACCCACTTATACTGCAGAGGCAAGGAATAAGATAGGAGAAAATCCTGTCGCACTTTCAGCTCGCACACTGCTCAAGTCAGGTGAGCCCTAGTACAGCAATCTTTTCCCCTGTAAACCCACATCTGCGTTTGCGAATCCCTGTCACAGTGACTGGCAATGGCCTAGAACATGGATTTAACCTGCACTTGTAACAGCCTTCAGCCAGCGCTGCGTTCGCCGTGCCTAATCATTGTTGGGTTTGCAAGCGGCGCTGGCTGCTTGCCCAGAGCACGTGGACTGTGCCCATCTAACTCATTCCAGTGATTAAGGTCTCCCATCTCTGTTCTTGTGCCAGTGACCAACGGGACTAATTCCTATAGCCTGCTCTTAACTCAGCATTGACCTCTTTCAGGATAGCTGGGTATCAGGCTCTGGATTTAGACAGAAGGTTTTGTCAGTTGAGGATTCTCCAGTGTGGAATCCCCTGGGAATATCCCACCCTCGGGGGCCATGCTACCGCTGACCCAGCTGGAGCAGCAGTCACGCCAGCTCCAAGAGCACAGGGCTCACGTGCCCCACAGTAAGCCTGGCATCGCGTGGCCCTCTGAGATTCCCCATCCCGCTCTATTACTCTGTGCCTGGGCAGCTGCCCCTCGGGCAAAGGGATGGCAGGGAAGCCTAGCAGCCTGCGCCAGCTACTGTCTTTATAAATGACCGACTCCGGCTTGGGTGGTATGAAATAGCGAGACCTTGCAAAAGCAGCGTTAAAAGCAGTAAAATAAATTCTCTCCCACCTTTTCCACGATGCAGTGCTCATATTTCCGGAGAGGACTTGTGCAAATAAAGACTTCGGTGCTGAAAAGAAACAGCCTTCATTAGCAGTCAGGGGAAAGTGTGTAAGAGAATAGAAAAAGGCTGCAAAGTGTCCTTACTCCTGCATGTGGATCATCTCCTGCATGGCTTCAAGGGCTCCTGGAACTGGATCCAACCCTAGAAAGAAGCCAGGCGATTCATAGATGCTGGCTACCTTAGCCTGCAAGAGACAGGAGATCCATTAGCAATGCCCATGCTTTTATCTGAGCTCTGTGCACCACGGTTGTCTGGTCACCCCGTGTGTAACAGCTGTCAAAGGGGCAGCACTTCAGAGAGTGAGGCAACGCTTCACACCAGGAGTGGATTATAAAGTTTCTCACCTTCAGGGTTCCAGGAAAAATCCAGCTCAGGCATACAGTAATGAGGAGTTAACTCTCTGGTAGCTTGTTTGGAGTGAGGAGGCGAGCTGATCCTAACCTGGCTTTGTTTCTGCGAGCTGCTCCATGAGTAGCACCACAAACACGGCACTGATCTACAGCTCAACCTGCTGATGTCGGATGGAGGGAGAGCTCACGCCTCACCCCTCCCCAGCAGGTCTCTCTCTACTAACTCTTGTGAAAATCAAAGGAACAAGCTTGAGGCTTTTGGTCTTCTGTCACATTTGACTGAAATTTGCTTATGGCTCAGGAATTTACCAGGGATGAATGGGTAGACACACGTATTATCTAGTAGCCCTCTTTTCCTTCAGAATAAAAAGGGTGATGTGACCATGCTAACTACCATCCTCCACAGAGGGGCCGGGTCAGCACACCCACACTTTTGGGGTTAATCCTTTTAGACCACAAAAAACTCAGCAAGTGGAAAGGAAGAGGATGGGAGAGTTAGGAAAGCTACATTTCTTTGCTGCTTTCTACGATTTTCGATCATACACTAAAATAACAGTTGTTAAAGGAGCAGATCTTGACTTCAGCATGGACAGCTGCTCCTCTGTGGTAACACATCCGTGCAAAGTCTACTTAAAAGACTGAGACTGCAGCAGGAAATTCAGAGGTGGATCCCTGTGCTGCCACAAGAACCTTTGGCTTTGTGAACAGACCTGTGCACCCCTAAGAGCCCCAGCTGGGCTAGGCTCGGTGGTGATAAGGGTGGGTCCCACCTACTGCTCCTCTCATCTGACTCAGAGCACACAACCTCAGCGGCGGACTGAGCAATACTTAAGGGGATCACAGCTTTATCCCTTTTCCCTCTGCACCTGCTCTCAGTGGTAAAGCCGCCTTCAATACATGCATGTGGGATGCCACATGAATCAGAGAAATTTAATTGCAAAAAAGCGAGGAGTTTGTCTCCAAAGTTAGAGTAATTTTTAAGTGTGTATAAATATGAAAGAAACAAGATTACTGGAGGAGCAATGTCTTCCCAGGCTAAAGTATCTAAAAAATGGTGCAGAAAGGTAAAAAAAAAATTAATATGTGGCATCTTTAATCTTTAAAAGGAAAAGTAGTATTTCCAGGGCAATTCCTGTGCCTCTAGGTAGTAGGACTGTCCTTCCAGCCTTTTTTTTTTTTTTTTTTTTTTTTTTTTTTTGTAATTTACTTATAAGACATTCTCGCACCTTTTGTTATTAGGCAGTTCACTGGTGTGAATCCAACTCTGGTTAGTTAATTTTAAAAATTGCTACCTGGTGACTGTTCAGTGGCCTGGGTTAAATCAGAGCATTTCAGTGCAGGTCACAGCGGACGGCTTCCCTTATCACACAACCCATCATGACAAAGCCCGCAGCAGTGGCCATCTCAGCAGCATTAAGGGCTGAGTCCTCTTCCAGGCCTAAGTTTCATTCTCAGACAGAGAGGTTAAGCTTCCAATATCAATTCTACCTTAAGACAAATTAATCTTACCTTCCCTGGCATCATACAGTGAGCTCCAGAGGTGCCAAGCTAGCATTTTTCTTGCACACATGAAAGTTGTAGATTCCCATGCCAGCAAATAATTCGGAAAACTTAGTTCTCTGTTAAGTATTCTTCAAAGGCAGGCTGGCAGCCTTTGCTTAGAAATTGTACAAGATTTCTTTACCGTCCAGCTGATGGTCTCCTTGCTCTCTACATCACCAGTGGAACATCAACATAAAAACATTTCAATTAAGCAGCAGTGAGAAGGAGTCACCATTAAACAAGTCTCCCAGATCACGGTGCTCACTCAGTTATCATAATTTACAAATACTCATAAATCAACAGCCAGAAATTTGGAAGCACTGGCTGATTTAACATGCAAATCAGAAGAGGTTAAGGATTCTAGATGAAGATGTGGCAATCAGATCTGCCCAGATCTCTGTTTCCATGCAAAGCCTCACTGATCTCAGCAACAATTCCCTGGAGCTCTTCCCAAGGAGATTCAATTACAGAATCAGGGCTTGTGTCTGAAAGCTCTTTTATCCTACAGCAAGACACCAGAAACTGGCAAGTTTCCACCATGTCACACCAAAGTCTGGCTTTGCTGGAAAAAGAAATTGGATTTGATGACTCTTAGAAGAAAAAGCCGTTTCTCCCCCACAAAAAAAGAGACTAGAAAGTAAAATAATTTTCTTTCCTCCTTCTCATGCCACCATTGCTGGATGTTTCAACTTCCATTATCAAGATAACAACTTGGATACAAAACTGGAAGAATTACATCTATCCCTAAGCTTTCCATTTGCAATACTTAAAAATAATTCTAGAAAATTTTGCCTGGAGATGTTTAATCCTTTTTTGAAACTGTCTGGGGCCAGGTAACACATCCTAAACGCCTGGGAGATAAATCCCCATCAACAAAATTGCTGTACACACAGGAGACCAGTTAGGTAAGTACAATAAAGGAAGTCTTGAGCAAAATACTTTGTAAATGAAATGGATTTACAATGTGAAATTAATGATCAACTTACAATTAAAAAAGAAAAAGCAAAGTAATGGTTCAGATTTCAAGAGGCAGCCGCTGAGCACTAACAAAGCATCTTCATAAGAGGGCAGGGGCAGTGTGGAAACCAGTATCTCAGTACTTCCCACCCCCCCTGTCACGATAGTATCTTACTACATGGGGCGTTCATGGACAGAGCGAGCAGACACCTGCCACAAAGAGCTTGGTGTCAGGCTGATCCCCCTCCTTTCAACACCCGACAAACTGCAGATTGGGTTTCTCTGCACCGTCAGGCGGCCCCGCAGACCCCTGCACACCGCTGCCACAGGACGGACACGCTGCTCTCCGTGTCCAGGCAGCCAGTTCCTGCCAAAGCTTTTCCTGCAGCCAGAGGCAAGGAGAGACCTTCTCCTGCATCCCACATGCCCTGCACTGTCCTGGCAGAACAAACAAGGTCTCTATTTTTGACCAGCTGTGGTATTTACATAAAACCTGTAGGAGCTTCAAATCTTTAAAACTTTGTTCTGCCAAATGTACCTAGAATAGCCCAGAGCCCCAGAGGTTACTGAAGAGGGGGACAGATGCACAACTACATAAACCTGATTTCCTTAGGAAGCCAGGCTAACAACAAACAGTAAGATAAAAGCTTTCTGCCACTGCTGATCTGCATGGGATTCAAACCAGTTATCTAGTTATTCCATTGACATGCCTAAGGTCTGGGAAGGAACAGGATGAGCATGAACCAAATTAGGGAATGGGAATGCCAGAAACAGAACGCAACTTTCAGATCAGATTGTAGACCTTCTGCCTAAGAACAAATAAAAATCCACGGCCCCTTGAATTACTTGCCACTTTTTTGTCCCACTATACCTAAATGGCACTCACTTAAGGAATACTCATTTAAGCAATAAAACATGCTTGTTTATATAAAATGATAAACACATCATGCCTCCTCCCTATATTTACAAGTTTCTAGTTTCAGGAAGTTTTGAGCATCAATAGCCATCGATGAAATCTCAGTCAGTTTGGAGCCTGTGGAAATGCTGCCCAGACCCAGCGCTCCTGCCTGTCTCACTGGTGCAGGAGCCTGTACCTTGCTATAAACAGGAGGAAAATGAATGTGAGCTGTCATTTCTTAGTGGTAAAAAATCTACACGCTCAGTACAGGATCTTAGAACTTCTTAGGGGAAGTGCAGGGCACAGCCTGGATCAGCATCCATTTCGTTTTCTTAGAGAGTCTCCAACTGTCCTGCGGTAACCAGAAGGAGGTGTGAAGTCTGGTTTCACAATACTTTTAATTTTGCCTTGCAAATGCCTGGTATTCCTTCAGCCATTAGCAAACATTAAAAATAGCAACAATTTGCACAGATTCAGGGTGTACCACAAGCTTTTTACATACTGTCCTAGATTGCTTACCTACCGTGCACTTTGCTTGTCAGAGCACGCAGAGGGGATGGTACAGATAAGGGGCTTTGTTAGCTGTACAAAACCCGTATATAACATTTTTATTTCTTGCCCTGCTATGGAGCTGCATTAACACTTGCAGAGCGCTCGGAGCACTTGAGATAAGTTGTTACTGCTGCTGCATGGCGAGGGCAGTCCCCGAGTCGGTAAAGAACAAGCTGAAGATGGCTCAGCGAATAGTTCCATCCAGTTATTTTTATGACAGAATCACTCATTCCCAATTCCCACACACACACACCTCTTTGTAAAGGGCTGGCAATCCTCCTGGAAGAAAAAGCACTAATTATCACTCTACAAATTAAGGCTGCTCGCATGAAACAACCCATTGTAGCACCCCCCTTAAAAAACAACCACCGACCAACCCTCCCCTCTGCTTTGCATATCCACGGGGGGAGGAAGAGATCTCCTGTAAACACGGCGCAATCTCCCCCCCAAACACCCCCCGCCGTGGCCGCTCACCCCCAGGTCCTCCCGCAGGCAGCGGTACTGCTCCCGCATCGAGAAGCTCCACCCGCGGCTCCCCGGGGAAGCGGCGCCCGAGGCCCCGCAG